CCTGCCCAGCTGTGCGACGAGGCCGATTAGGAGCTGCAGTTCCACCCCAGCAGTGACAGTGCTGGGCTGCGAGGACTTCACTGTGTAAGATAAGGAAGGTGCCCGCGGCTGCGGCCTGGCTCGGGTGTTGTCAGATACAGCCCATTAGCGGGAGAGCGCTGTGGGGAGTGGTCCTGCCGGCAGCCTCTCGGTGCTTCCCGGAATCACCTGGAAGACATCCCGGGTCATCTCAGCATTAGAAATGTCCCGCTCATCCTGCCGCGGGGGACGCAGGGAGTGCACAGCCGCCTCCAACCCACTGTTCCTGTGCTGGAGGCAGCACAGCCCACAGCTGCTCTGAAGCCCTTAAGCTGAGTTGGTTTAGCCAAGGACATTCTGCGGAGGCTGTAGCCTGGTGGGAGCCGACGGGGAGTCTCTTTCTGGTGGGATTGTGCTGACGCTAGTGTCTGCCCCACGGCTCACGGCCTCTTCAGCCGTCTGCCTCGGCAGAGAGCAAATCCCAGGGCGAGCAGTTGGCAGCACAGATGTGTGCTCCCCCCTGCTCCTGCCAGGGTGTGGGGCTGCACTCCCACCCCCTTCCCAGCATCTCCCCGTGGGGACAGCAGCGAGACTGAACCCATCCCAGAGCAGAACTGACCGAGTGGTGTGGCTCAAGCACCTCTGGATCATGGGGAGGAGGTATCCTGGCAGGGAACCATCCTGGCTGCCCTTGCCTTGCCGAGCTGCAGCACCACTGAGAGGATGTGAGGAGCACAGTCCTGTCCTGGCACCGTGTCCTGAGCTGGGCCCCATCACGGCTCAGGCTGGCCCCAAGGAGAGGGGGATTGAGCACTGCTGGTAATCCCACTGCACCCGAGGGATTACCGCTCACTCTGGCCTGGGGATTAAGGGATTTCTCTAAGCGGGGTTGATGCAGCCTCCAGCAAAGCAGTTTGTGCCTGGGGGCCTCACTGTCTGGGGCAGGATGGGTGTGTGATGGCAGGGTGGGCTGTGCAAGGTGTGGGGGATCCCCGAAGGAGGGTGGGCTGCCAGGTCTGCAGCAGGCTGGCTGAGGGGCTCCTCACCCAGGTAGTCACTGCCCTCCTTGCCACCGGCCTGCAAAGTCCTGTTTTGCCAATGGGTGCTGGCAGCCCTTTGGCACAGGCTTGGCTGTCCCGTGCTGGGACCATGGCACATCCCATGCTGGGACAGGTCCCACTGGTGCCAGGGAACACTGCTGGGGGAGCTGCTGCTGATGCCCCAGCCATTCCCTGGCACAGTGTGGGGTCAGCCTGGGCAAGTTGCTGTGCCCAGCTTGGCAAGCCACTCTTCCACAGAGCTCAGGGATGGACTCCCAGGTCAGAGGCAGAGAGATAGTGCTGGGGTAGCACCAGGCTTGGAGAGCAGAGCCAGCAGCTTGGGCAGAGGCAGTTGTACAGCTCCTCTCCTGAGGTGTTTGGAGCAGAGAACAATGAACCCCGCTGCTGACACTTGCAGTCATGTCAGGGCTGTAGTTATGGTTTGTAAACACCCCGCCTTGCCTGGACAGGGTGCAAGGACCCAGCCAGGCATCCAGGTCACTCTTTGTGGGAGATGCCACCTGGCCCTGCCTCGTCCCAGTCACAGCACCCACGTGCCTGTGTCACACTGGGGTTTCTGCAGATGCCAGTCCAGGCCCAGGCAGGCGCTTGTACAGCACGTGCCCAGCTCAGCCTCCCCCGTGCCCCCGGCTCCCTTTGCTTGCCCTTTTGCCTCCTGGTGATGTGGCAACCGCTGCTCTGGCCCCTGGGAAAGGGGAAGTGGTGTTGAAAGCAGAAGGTCAGTCACATCAGCAGTGAGGGCCTGGCTGCCCTCGCAGCCCTGTCAGCTGCCCTTCTCCACTCTCTCCTCCTCTCTGCAGTCACACTGCTCCCGGCATCAGGGAATGCTCCTGCCTGCCAGGGTGCCCTTCCCCACTGCCTGCCCTGTCTGGGGTTCTGCCTGCCCCACTCAAGTTACTCCTGGCTCAGCAATCCCAGTGGATGCAGGGGCAGGTGAGCGGAGCTGTCAAGCTGCTCCTGCCCTGACAGGCCCTGGGGTTTGTTACTCACAGCCATGCCCTGTGCTCAAGATCACTCCTGCTTTGAGGAGAGGAGCTGTCAGTCCGGTTTGGGTTTGCTCAGTGCCTGTGGGGTGGGAGGCTGGGAGGGTTGCGCATTTCCCCAGTTCCACAGCTGTTTCCCAGCCTGGGATCCCAGGGCACGACCCCTGGTTCCTGCTGCAGGAGCCCCCCACACTCCAGGGCCACAGCAGAGTGGGCAGTACCTCTGGGGCACGGCAGGGCCTTGGTGTCTGCTCATGCTGGCTGAGCCTGTCGGGCTGGGTCAGGGCTGGGGCTCGGGCCCTGCGCCCCAGGAGCGGGGGCCGTGGTGGCACCCCCACTCTCGCACTGCCGCGCTTCTCTGGGTGCACCTTCCTCCATGCGGCGCTCGTTGCTATGCGACCGCCGGCTCCTGATGCTTAATGCTCTAATACGGAGGGATAAAACCACTCTAAAAATACCCCGCTGCCGGCCCCCCGCGGGGGCAAGGGGGCTGCCGGCGGGCAGGCAGCCTGGGCAGGGGGGCCGCTGGGAAGTTCCGAAACTCCTCGTCCTCCAAGTGGCTTTGAGGCGCCCGCTGTGGCTCCGGCAGTGGCACGGCTGGTGTGCCGGTGCGGCGGGGATTGGCTGGGGCTGGCGCGTGGGCTCCTGCGGCTGGAGCTCCCCTTCCAGAGCCAGCTCCAGACAGAACCGGGACTGCTCCGGCTCCCCTGCTTGCGCCCTGCCCCAAGCGCTGGGAAGCTGCCCTAGGTACTGGCTACCTGCCTGGCACCGGGGAGCCCACTGCTCGGCCACACGCACCTGTCTGGCCTCCGTGTGCTCCTGCCTGACCTCTGCCTGTCCCTGCCTTGCCCTGCCGGAGCTGGTGGCATCCTGCGTGGGACCCCCGCAGCATGGGGACAGTCAGCGAGCTCTGCGCCTCCAGTTTCCAGGCATTCCTCTGCCCCTCGGTGGCTGCCAAGGCAGGTAGGCACTGCGTGCCCCCTCCCCTCTGTGCCGCGGGGTTCCCATCCCCCAGCAGACACGGCGGTGCCCATGGCTCTGGCTCCATATGGCTCTGGCTCCATATGGCTCCTGCTGAAAGCAGCACAGAGTGTCCTCGCTGTCTCACTGCCTCCTTCCTCTGCCGGCCTTCCCAAGCTCGGGCCTCTGCAAGCACTGGGCCCCTCGCCTGGCATTGCCCTGTGCTGGAGCTGGTGCCTTGGTGGGACAGGGGTGTTGGGGAGCCAGTGGTGGTGGCTGGGAGGTCACAGGCAGCGCAGCATGGCCATGGCAGGTCCTGCCCCAGCCCCTCTACCCTGCCCTGCCCCAGAGGATGAGGTGTGAGCGCTCAGTCGTCCTTATCACAGCAAGTGCCGGAGGCTACAGAGGACAGGGTGACACTCTCCAAAGGGAATTCTGTGTGGGAAAGCCCAGCTCCTGCCACGCTGTGGGTGTGCTGAAGGTCAGCCACCTCTGTGACCTGCTGCTGTCTGCTGGCTCCTGCCCAGCTGTGGGACTGGGGAACTGCACAGTGGGGCAGGGTGTTGTGGGACCCCCTCGGCCAGCCCTGTGGCTGAGCTGGGTTCTGCTCCTCTTGAGGCCTGGCACCATAAGCAGTGCTGGGAGCAGGTGAGGTGCCTGCCTGGCTGCTTCCTTGCACATGCACAGTGTCTGTAGACATGGCTGAGCTGGTGCTCACCCAGCCATGCTGGAGGCTGGGGGTCTGTGCATGGGAATGTTGGACCTTGAGCCACTGGGAGCGAGGTGGTGGCTGTGGACGGGGTTCCTTGGTGGGCTCTGGGTAAGGAAAGCAGGGTTAATGGGGTGTTGGGCAGAGCTGCACAGAAGCAGGAGAGTGTCCTGAGCACAGGGTCCAGCAGCCTAGGAGGGCCTGTCCCCAAACCCTCCTCCTGCTACAGCTCCGCTGTCGGTGGGGAAGGATGGGGCTGACGCAACCCAGGGTGTGCACATGGTGAAAACAGGATGTGGTATGAGGAGACAAGCAGGATGTTTCTGGGGGCCCCACGGGACCCCACCAAGGGGTGGGGGTGGTGGCACCCGCAGCAGCACGCAGAGACCCTGGGCTCATCCCCATGGCCTGCCTGACCCCGAGGCTGTTGCCCCTCTGGTGTGGTACAGCATGGGCTGGCAGCAGGGCTGGCTGCTGCAGTAGCTCAGGGGGCCGAAGGACACCCCGAGGCTGCTGAAGCCCACCCTCCCCTTACTCCATAGCTGGCATGCTGGGTGCCGTGTCTCCATCTCATGCTGCTGAGCAGGATTTAGCTGAGTCAAGGCAGCCGAAGCTGATGTGGCCTCTCCAGGCGACTGACGGGAGCAGGGATGGGGACAGGGACGTGCTGGGGTCGCTCCCATTGCAGGCACGGCCCCACAGCTCCCAGACTCGCCACACAGGGGTCCTGTATGAAGCAGTGGGGTCCCTGCAGACACCCCATAGCAGGGGGGAGGACAGTGGGGAGCACTATCCCGTGGGGACTGGCATGGCTCCTAGTCCTTCTCCTGGTTCCAGTTCTTGTCCCAGCCAGCTGTGGGAGATGCCATGGAGCCTGTGGAGAGGAGCGGGCACCAGCGGTCCCCACGGCCAGCACAGGACCGGGACCTGCAGTGGAGAGGTCTGGCAGAGATGGAGGAGCTGCAGGGATGGGGGTCTGCTGGCCTGCCCAGCTGGTGGAGGGGAAGGGAGGGGACCCCGGCGCTGCGCACTGAGCTCAAGATGTGCCGGGTCGGGTGTCCTGGCAGGCTCCGAGGAAGGAAGGGCTGGGCCAGCCCAGGGCCTGCCTGGCTGGGACCCCAGCACATGGCGTCCCCCGAGCCGGGGAGGGGGAGCAGGCCCTGGCGCCCATTTCCCACCCGGCCGGGAGCACAGGAGTTAAGGTGCTGACGGCTCTGGCTCATGGCGGCAGGAACAGGGTGGTGCTGGTGCTGGCTGCCGGCTGCCGGGATGACGCCCGAGAGGCCCCGGAGCTCATTGGTACGGGGCCCTGAGTCACCGCGGAAGCACCGAGGCTGCAGGTGTCCACACCCGGCACGGCAGCTCGGGCACGGCCAGCGGGGCCGGGGAGGGCCCTGCCACGATGGTGCTCAGGGCAGAGGGCAGCGGTGAGCCGGGCCGGGGCGCGGGGGGCCGGGCGAGGGCGGCCGGTGGCTCCGGGTGTGCCCCGCTGCCCTCGGGCAGCGCTGGGACAGGGACGAGGCCAGCAGGGCCCTGTGCCCAGCAGGGCCCTGTGCCCTGCAGGGCCCTGTGCGGCGGGGCTGTGCTCTGGGCGAGGTGCGGAGCGGGCTGCGGTTGCTGCTCGGGGCTGAGCAGGCCTGCTGAGCCCCGAGCCCCATGGACAGATCCTGCTGCTCTGGGACAGGATCCTGCCTGGAGAACCCGCGCCTCCCTGCGCTGGTGGGGAGGCCCAGCCGTGATGGGATCCGGCAGTGTGGCCAGTCCCTGTGCGAGTTCTGTGCCAGGCTGAAGCCAGGGGCAGTGTCTGTTCCCGTCCCCCGGCACTGCTCTGCCTGCGGCCAGGCTCACTGGGGCTCTCCAGGGCAGTTGCTGTGCAGAGCCAGGGAAGGGTTAATGCCGCTTTCCTTCCTCAGAAAAGCTTCTGCGTCTGGGGTTTCTCTTCCTCTGGCTGCTGCTGACATGGCTGGGCTGCTTGTCACGAGTGCTCAGCCTCCACCGGGGAGGGACCTTCCGGGGCTCGGGAGCAGCCCTGCCGTCCCTGCTGCCCTGCAGCGTCTCATCTGCGCCTCTCTCGGGGCCGCCGGGACCCCGGCTGGAGCCCCTGTCCTCTCCCAGGTGGGCAGGAAGCGGCAGAGCTGAGGGCTTTGCCTGAGGCCTGGCATGAATTTGGCTTTCCCTGCGGCCGGGAAGGGGGTCTGGCGGCTGGACAAGAGCGTCCTGCAGCTAGGCAGGAGGGTCCTGTGGCACATGCAGCAGCCCAGGGATTTGGGGGTTTCTGTGTACGATGAGCGGGTGTGATGAAGCTCATCCCTCCCTCTACGAGCCTGGGCTTGCTGGGTGCCCTGGGGGCCTGGCAGTGGGGGCTGGTGCCGGTGGGAATGGAGAGAATGGCGCTGGGGTGTGCAGAAGGGCTGGGATGCATCAACACAGCTCTGGTACTGTAAGTAACTTTTAACCCGGTGCCACGAGCTGACCTGTCTGGCTCAGGTTTCCCGACATGGGAGACTGAAAGTATTGGGAAGTGTTGGCGTGTCTGAGGGACGGTGTCGCAAGCCGAGGCGCCTCAGCCTTGGCAACAAGGGGCTGTGAAGGAGGAAGCTCATCAGAGCCAGAGCGGAGCTGGGAATTGCTGAGCTCAGAGATTCAGGGTGCAGGGTGGCCCTCACCCACGGAGCTCCCACTGAGGCAGCGGCAGTGTGGGGAGAATCAATGCACAGTTGAGGACAGTGCTGGTCTAAAGGCACATGGTGTTTTTGGGCACTGGTGTGGGGCAGTGACTGCGCTGGGGACACTCTGGTGAGTGTGGGCTGGTGGCAGCGGTGGCTGTGGCACCACGGGACCTCAGCAGGTCGGGGGGTAATGCTTGGGGCAGGGGAGGATGGTGACAGCCCTACAGACGCCTGTTCCCAGCACCCCAGGGAGAGAGGAGGGGGTGACACAAGAGCTGAGCTGGCAGATCCTGCTGCCACCTCCCTTGGGGACAGTGCTCTGGAGGGAAGGTGTTTTGGTGTCCTTGCAGGTCACCTTGGTGCAATGCACAGAAGCAGCTGGCAGAGGTGGGAGACATGAGCAGAGTAGAAGGGCTGGGAAGACTCTTGAAGGAGCCAGTGACCTTGGGGACTGGAGGGAACAGGAATGGGATACCTTGTCACCGTGAAGCAAGGAGGTCACATGCCAAGGAGCACTAGGAATGTTCCTGGAGCATGGGAACCATGTGGTGGTCCTGGGCAATGGTGTTGGAAAGGGGGTATCTGATTCCCCAGGGTGACAGGAAGGTGTAGATGTTGTGGTGTGCAGGTGAGGTCTGTCTGGAGGGTGCACCAGCTCCAGGCTGGCCTCAGAATAATGAATCCACTGTAGAGGGAGCTGCAAGGGTGGCCAGGAGCTGCTTTATGTTTGGGGCTGACCTGGTACAGCAGAACAACCTGCAGGGCTGCAGGTCAGTGTGGAGCCTGTGCTGCAGGGCACAGCAGAGCTGCCCAGCCATGGGGAGCAGAATGGGCACCCACACCAGCCCGGCTGGGGCAGAGCAGAGTGAAATGGGACTTGGAGGGGCAGCAGGGCTGGCAGAAGCAGTGCTAGAGGTGATGCAGGGGCCTGTGTGGGTTCTCACTCTGCAGCTGCCACAGTCTGAAGGAGCGGATGCCCTTGGCTCAAATTCCTTTCATGCCAATGGTGCCACTTGGCCTCTGTGTGGGGCTGGGGACACTGCTCGCCAGCCCAGCTCCTCCTGCCACCCAGTGCCTCCATGTCCTGCCTCCACCCAGGCCCACAGCTGCTGCCTGGGGGCAGAGGCTGTGCCAGGAGCCTGGCAGGTCTGATTGCCAGGAGCACACATGCTGACTTGATCGTGTCTCTGCTCAGTGCCCAGTGACCTGACCCCAGAGGAGTGCCAGGAGCTGGAGAACATCCGCCGCCGAAAGCAGGAGCTGCTGGCTGACATACAGGTACGATGCCAGGGGCCCACACAATCCCCCTGTCCCAGAGACAGTCTGGCTGGAAGGGTCCCTGGAGCCCCATGCAGCTGCCCCACAGCTCTTCCTCCAAGGGGCTGTGGGGACAGAGTCCCAGCTGGGATGTGGTCCCAGATGGCAGCCAGCCGTCCCTGCCCTGCCAAAGCAGCCATGCCTTTTCCTGTACCCTCCAGAGCTCCAGGCTGTGCAGTTGTGCCAGTCTGTGCCAGCCTCTGCCTGGCACAGGCAGGGACCATGTCTCTGGGCCAGGCCACTGCCCTGGCAAGTGCCTGTGAGGTCGTGGCTTATCTGGGACACTGTCAGTTGTGTCCCTGATTAAGGCAGCAGAGGCTAATTACTGCCATATGCTGGGCATGATCTGAAGGGATTAGGGATAATTTTGTTAACCTCTGAATCTCTTCCTTCCTGCATGCTGGGAGCATGGCAGTGCTGCAGGGATTAGCAGCGGGGGGCAGCCAGCCCCACTGCCAGTGCCCTCTGAGCTGGTTCAGCCCCTGGGCAGCGCTTGGGGGTGGGGGGAGAAGGGAGGGAAGGAAGGAGGGGCTGTGAGACCTCTTGGGGGCATGGGGCTGTCTCCAGGGCTAGGGGCTGGAGGGTTTGTAGGGGAAGTACCTCCTTGTCTCAGTGCCCCCTCTCCCCACAGCGCCTGAAGGATGAGATAGCAGAAGTGACGAATGAGATCGAGAACCTGGGCTCCACGGAGGAGAGGTGAGTCCCAGCACCTTGGAGCCCCCTCGGGCTCGCCTGTGCTGTGCAGGAGCCGAGGGCAACTGAGCCCTGGCCCATGACGGCTGGTGTGAGCAGCTTTCCCAGGCGCTCTGAGCTCCTGGGAGCAGGATTCCAGGATGATCTGCTGCTCCCAGTCTATTTTTCCAAGCCCCAGCCCCTCTGTCTGGCCGCAGCCACTGGCGAGCTTTGTTATTCTGAGCTGATGCAGTCAGTGCCAGCTGGGATTAGGGGGGCCCAGTGGGAGCTGATCATTCCCAGTTACCCACTGGGGCATGAAGACTGTCCCCTTCTGCCAGCCCCACTGCTCTCCCCAGAGCCCTGCTACAGCCAGCTTGACCAAGCCTGCCTGTGTCTGAGTGACCTGACAGGTGCTGTGCCTGCACCCCCTCTGCTCAAGGGTGACCCCAAGGACACGTGGTGGCAGCTCTGCTCTGTTCCAGGGCCTGGCAGACCAAGAGCAGCCCCAGGCCACGGTGTGGGGCAGACACAGAGCAGTGTCCTCCATGGGTCCAGCATGGGGGCCTGGGTCCCGTTGGTCCAGGCTGACCCTCCCTGCAGTGCACTGCCCCAGGGGCTGCACAAAGGCAGGGGCCCTGCCAGGTGCTCAGAGCTGTTTCATGCCTTGCAGGAAAAACATGCAGAGGAACAAGCAGGTGGCCATGGGCAGGAAGAAGTTCAACATGGATCCTAAGAAGGTAGTGTGGGAGGGGGAGCAGCGCTGGTTACCCACCTCTGGGGGTGTGCACGGCTCTACCACCTCCCAGTCCAGGTTGCTGGGGCTGGGGCAGAGCCAGCAGCCAGGGCAGGGGCTGGCGGTCAGGGGGCAGGCTGGTGGGGGCAGCCACAGAGCCCCAAGCACCTCTCTTGCACCCCCCAGGGCATCCAGTTCCTGATCGAGAACGACCTGCTGAAGAACACGTGCGAGGACATTGCGCAGTTCCTGTACAAGGGAGAGGGCCTCAACAAGACAGCCATCGGCGACTACCTGGGCGAGAGGTGCACTGGGCTCAGTTTCCTGGGGGTGCTGTGGGCTCCTGCCCCCTGAGAGATGGGACACTGCAGCTCTGAGCTCACAGGGCAGCTCACTGGGGGTACCCGGGGTGCTGGGGGTATTCAGTTCATGGCTGGCTCTTGCAAGTGGCTGATTTGTGCAGACCAGACCAGGGGGTAGCTGCAGCTTTCCCCCATGAATGAGTAGAATTTGGAGAAGGGCAGGGGCAGTGGAGCCACTCAGCAGTCACAGGATTGCTGATCACGCATCCCTCGTGCTCTGGCTTTGTTCCCACAGGGATGAGTTCAACATCCAAGTCCTGCATGCCTTTGTGGAGCTGCATGAATTCACTGACCTCAACCTTGTGCAGGCTTTGCGGTGAGTAAGGGGCTGGGAGCTGAGCGTGGCCCGTTGAGGGTGCTGGGGACCGCGGAGCCCCCAAATCAGCAGCACAGCTGGCTCTCCACAGGCAGTTCCTGTGGAGCTTCCGGCTGCCAGGGGAGGCACAGAAGATTGACCGGATGATGGAGGCCTTTGCCCAGCGGTACTGCCAGTGCAACCCTGGTGTCTTCCAGTCCACAGGTGAGCGCCTGTCCCAGATGGTGCCCTGGTATCATCCTGCCCCACAGCTGACTTTCTCCTCTGCCCCTGCAGACACCTGCTACGTGCTGTCCTTTGCCATCATCATGCTGAACACGAGTCTGCACAATCCCAATGTGAAGGACAAGCCCACAGCAGAGCGATTCATCGCCATGAACCGCGGCATCAATGATGGGGGGGACCTGCCTGAGGAGCTGCTCCAGGTGAGGGCCAGGGCCAGGCTGCAAAGCTGGCCCAGAGCAGGGCCCACCAGGGGCTGCTGGGCAAAGCAGAGCTGATTCCATGTCATTGTACCAGAATCTGTACGAGAGCATCAAGAATGAGCCCTTCAAAATCCCTGAGGATGACGGCAATGACCTCACCCACACCTTCTTCAACCCCGACAGGGAGGGCTGGCTCCTGAAGCTCGGTGAGTGCCAGTAGCAAGGGAGGGCAGGCTGTCACCAGGGTGCAGTGCCCCTGGGCTTCCCACACTTCTCCTGCTGGCCTGGCTCTTCAGAGCACGAGGAGGCTACAGAGACAGGCACAGCCTTCACAGGAAAGGCATCTGTACATCCAGCCCTCCATCTTCCCTTGGCTGGGCAGCAGGAGCAGACTCAGAGCTGATGAGGCCCTGCAGAGTGGCTGGGTGGGTGTCCTGGGGGATTCTGCCTTGAGACTGGGCAAGCCCCTGGAGCACAGAGTTGTACCAGGGTGTGGTGTCAGAGCACAGAGACCTCGAGGCCCTTCAGGTCACCAAGTCACAGCAGGATGTGGAGCAGGCCCCCGGGAGCAAGCGGCGAGCTGCCCCAGGCTGCGTGCGTCCCCCCTCCATACCACAGACAGCCCCTGCCTCACCTTCCCTCAGCATTACCACCTCCGCATCCCGGCTCCACATGCAGGCAGCATGCATGGCATCCCTGCTGCACCGCCCGGCTCCGCAGCCGGAGCCCTCCGCGCCCTGGCTCCTGTGGCTTCTCTTCTTGGCACCTCTGGGAAATCCTCTGCCCGGGTTTAGCAAGGGGGAATGGGCGTTGGCAGGATCGGGGTCCAGTGGGGTGCTTCCCCAGGGGTCTGCCTGCGGTCAGAGCTCCTGATACATGGCCAACCCCTTGGGAGGGGAGAGCAAGAGCTGCCTGCTCCCTGCCCTGGGGTGGGGGGACACAGGACAGCCCCAGGCCCTCCTGACTGGAGGGGGCCTGCGCACCCAGGTTCAGGCTGGCACCACCTATGGAGAGGTGGAGAGGCAGCAAAGTGGCTGTGGACCCCAAGTGCCTTGGCGGGCAGGGAAGAACCCTGCCAGTCAGCCAGGGGGTGGAGGGAGCCAGGCCCTGTCCCCAGCAGCCAAGGAGCCCCATCCCACAGAGCCACAGTGAGCCAGGGCAGTCAAGCCCCACAGCCCTGCCGCTGGCCCAACCCCTCACAGCTTCCCTGCTGCAGCCCGGCCCCACTGACCCGCAGGGCAAGGGGGGGCTTTGGGGTTCCTCTTTTTTTTTTTTCCTTTTTTTTTTTAATTTTCTTTTCTCCCTCATTTATATGTTTCCATGATTTTGGCTCTTCCTTTCCTTGCCCCCAACTCCAGGAGGTACGTACCCCTCTTCCCTGCTCTGCTCACACTGCTGGGGCTTCGTTTCCTTTGCGTTTTTAATTGCTGGTGATGAGTCTCATTGCTGCTGCTGTTGCTGCTAACCCCACATGCCCAGGGACCTCGCCTGCTGCAGGACAGCCCCTCTCCATCTCCAGGCAGGGACGTGGGGTGCCAGCCCTGCCAATGCCACGCGTTCCCCAAGGCCTGTGGCCTCCTGTGCTGCCCCGGGGGAGGATGGGGCCGTAGTGGCACCTTGCCACCCCCCCAGCTGTGCACCACCATGTCTGCAGACAGCTCAGCCTGGCCAATGGGTCCTTGCCTCCGGTGACACAAGGGATGGGGACAGGTTTGGGTTCTCCTTGGGAGGGGCCCCAGCCTGTGCACGCGTGGTTATGGTGTGCTGAGTGGCTGGAGCTGGATGGGATCTGTCTGCGTGGTGCCCTATGCTAAGGGCTCACAGCAGTCCCCATGAGGCACCAGCACTGCTCTAATGCCTGCACACCAGGGTGTCAGGGAGCATTGGTGCTGGCCCTCAGAACTGCTCTGGGACAGGGACAGGGGTGGGCTGCCAGCTGGCACAGGGCAGCAGGGACCCAGGGCCTTCCTGGCAGGGGAAGGAGATGAGCAGACCCCCAGTGTACACTGTGGCTCCTGGTGTGGTGCCAGATCCAGCCTGCAAGGGTGGGTGCTCGTCCTGCATTCAGCACTGCTGCAGTGGCTGCACTGGAGGGGAGCTGGGCCGGGTGGGGGGAGCAGGGCAGCTTCTCCTGCTGTGCTGGCAGCTGTGGAGCTCGGCCGTGACCTTGGGTCCTGCCTTGTCCAAGGTCCAGGACGAGCGGGACCATGGTCAGTGTGGACAGAAAGTCCCCGTGTCCTCCCAGGGAGCTGCCTGGCCGCAGTTCCCTCTAGCTGTGCTGAGTCTGTGTTTGGGTGGGAGCGGCCAGCGCTCCCGGCCCGGCGGTCCCGCCCTCGCCTCCATCCTCATCCGTGCGCTTCCTGCTCTGGTGGGTGCGGTGCGCGCTGCTGCTGCTGCTGCCCGCCGCTGCCCGCCGCTGCCTGGCTCTGCTTGGCTCTGTGTGTGCGCTGCTGGAGCCCCCGTGTGCCCGGCCGGCTCCGCGCTGCCGAGCTGCCGTGTGCCCGGCCCTGCTGGCCAGGGCTGTGCCCGACTGGCCCTCTCTGCTCCCAGGAGGCAGGGTGAAGACGTGGAAGCGGCGCTGGTTCATCCTGACTGACAACTGCCTTTACTACTTCGAGTACACAACGGTGAGTGGGCTCCTGCAGGGTGAGCTGGGCTGGGACAGGGAAGGGGCTGGACTGGGGGTGTCCCACCCCACAGCTAAACATCTGCTTGGCTGCACCAGGATAAGGAGCCCCGTGGCATCATCCCCCTGGAGAACCTGAGCATCCGTGAGGTGGAGGACTCAAAGAAGCCTGTGAGTGCTGTGGCAGTGTCCTCTGGGGTTTGGGGGCAGCTTTGGCTTGGGCAGGAAAAGCTGGGAGGTGTTGCAGCACCCTGAGATGTCCCCAGGAGGGGCAGGGGACCACAGGGCAGTCAGTGCCTTCATCAAAGTGGGGCTGGTCACCACAGGGGCACATGCAGGGCCAGGGGGTGACGATCATGGTGTGTCTGTCCCTCTCTGCCATGCTGGGGTGGCTGTGCCAGGGGTGTGTGGCTCTGCTTTGTCCCTCCCAGTCTGGGGTCCCCTTTAGAAATGGGGGCTGTGTCTGAGCAGTCTTTCCCTCCCAGAACTGCTTTGAGCTCTACATCCCTGACAACAAGGACCAGGTGATCAAGGCCTGCAAGACAGAGGCAGACGGGCGTGTGGTGGAGGGGAACCACACCGTGTACCGCATCTCTGCCCCCACGCCTGAGGAGAAGGAGGAGTGGATCAAGTGCATCAAGTGAGTGCTTGGAGGAGCACGTGGGGGCACAGCACTGGGCAGGGGCACAGCAGGGACCTGCCTGCTGTCCTCAAAGGGGACAGTGCTTCCCAGGGCATCCTGCAAGGATGGGGGGAGAAGGCTTCCCCAGGGATATAAAAGGCCTGCCCAGGGCCAGGCCAGGCAGGTGGCACCCATCACTGCAGCAGTTTGGCCTGACCCAGCCCTTGTTCCCCTGCCAGGGCAGCCATCAGTCGGGACCCCTTCTACGAGATGCTGGCTGCCAGGAAGAAGAAGGTCTCCTCCACCAAGAGGCACTAGCAGCCAGACTGGCCCTGTGAGGCCAGCCCCCTGTCATGGGGGCTTGAGGGGTGGGGGCCACGCTGCACGCTGGCCCTCGAGGCCCAGGGCCCAGCTTCAGCTTAGCTATTTCTTTACTGTGGGGGGAGGGAAGGGGCATGGGCATCTCAGTGACTCTGGCCCCCCATCACTGCCTCATCACCTGACAGCATCTTCACAGGCTCAAGCTGGAACACAGCACCCCTGGGAGCCCTGGTCTCAGCACCATGGGCACCCTCCCTGCCTCTGACCCCCAGGAAGCCTGTGGCCATGTGGCACTGGGTCCCCCAGCACCAGTGCTCAGACGCTCTTGGGCTGTTCTGTTGGGAGGGCGAGCAGCTGTTGGTGAGCACCTGGAGGTTTCGGGGTGCCACAGGTGCTGGGGTGCAGCCCCAGGGGGCCCTGCAGAGATACAGCTCCTGGCCCTCGTTGTAGCGGGCCTGGGTCTGTCCTGGGTGTCCCCACGCTGCTGCCTTGGACCCCCCCAGCGACCCCCTGCACTGGAATGGTTCCACAGACACAGGAGGGACGAAGGGCAGGGACTGTTGATGAGCAGTGGCGGCACACAGGGCAGGGATGTGCCCTCAGCCAGCTGTGGGAGCTGTGGCTTGGGTGTGGCAGCACTCAGTGGCATTGCCCCGGCCCATCCTTGTGCCATGGCCCTCGTGCCAGGGTGGCATGGTGCCATGGTGGAGCCTGCCCTTGGGATGGCTGCTGGGGGGTCTTGCTGGGTGGGGGCTGTGGCCCCACCTCTCTGCCTCACAGTCGCCTGTGTCTTGTCCTGTCCCCCTCCCCACGCACAATCTGGAGGCGCCTGGATCAGTATTAGTCTATTTATCAGAGGTGTAAATACTCCTGTATAGTTTTCTCCTTGTAGATTATTTTGTATGTGGGTGGTTCAGTGCAGAGGCCTCACAGGAGTGGGGCGGGTGGGCAGGATTTTTTATTCTTTTTTTTTTTTTTTTTTTTTTTTTTTTTTTTTTTTTTAAATTTGCCATGGCCTTGTAAACTAGTGCTGAAGATCAGCAACAAATAAATACTTGTACCACGCTTCCCTTGGCCTCCTGTGCTCTGTGCAGCTTGGGTGGGCAGGAGTCCCCTGCCCCTGTCAGCCCTTGCCCCGTGCCCAGCCTTGGACTGGGCTCGTGCTCCTCCCAGCTGGAGGCTGTGATTGCTGGGGGTGTTTATGAGCCTTGTGCCTTCACAGCTGCCCCTGGCCACCAGGACAGTGCCTGAGGTACCCCACTGCAGAATGCAGGGTGCCTGTTCCAGGCTGGGACAATTCTTGATCCTGCACCCTGCTGTGGGCACCCTTGGCAGAGGCGTCCAGGGACAACGGGGGCAGAGGGTACCCTTGGGTACTGTGTTCTGCACCGGGCTGGGGAGGCATACCCAGCTGGTGCCAGGTGAGTGGGATCAAAGCCAAGCTGGGAGCACCAAGCCTGTGCCAGCTGTGTTGGTGCCATCAGGGCTGGAGAGGGTTGTCCACTCACACACCCTTGTGCCATGGTGGGGATCTGCCAGAGCATTCCCTGCTGCAGTCCCTGACCATCCTGTGGCTCGGATGGGGCAGCCTTTGGCACTGCAGCCTGAGTCTGGCCAGGGTGGGCAAACAGGATTGCTGAGGGATGGGGCAGTGGGGTGTGCAGGGGGAAGGGCAGCCCTGCAGCTGGGCTGTGCCCGTTGGGCTGGTGCCAGGGTCGGTTGGGGCAGACTGTCAGTTGAACAGCTGCCAGTGTCAGGTGGGGTGCAGACAGTGCCTGGAGGCCGTTGGAGGGTTGAGGAGTGTGACAGGAAAGCAGCACAGCCAGGTAAGATTGGGGTGAGCCAGGGCAGTGATAGGGCAGGTCGGGGGCAATAGGGCTGGATGGTGATGGGGCAGGTCAGGGGGCAATAGGGCCGGGTGGTGATGGGGCAGGCAGTGATGGGGTGGGCTTGGGGCCACTGGGCCCAGGCAGGGATGGGACTGGCAGCTTCCCCTAAGACTGCGTGTGCAGAGGGAGGGCTGAGGGCAGTGGAGGGGTGGGATGGGAGTGTCAGGCAGTCAGAGTGGGGTTGGCACAGCCCCTGGCTGAGTGGGGTTTTCCCCCTGGCCCCCAGGTGCTGTGGAGCTGCAGCGAGCCCGCGGCTGGCAGGATGGCAGCCCCACAGGACGAGCGCTTAGTCCTCCTCGAGGGCCTGGCCACGGCGCTGCTGCGAGTCCGGCCGGACAAGTGGGCCAAGTTTGCAGCCAGCGAGGAGACTTCAGTCATGCTGGACAAGTTCTTCAAGCAGCCAGAAATGCTGGAGCTGGTGCTGGGGCTGAACCCTGCTGGGCAGCTCCTGCCCACCACCTGCTTCCCACCTGCCCTAAAGGGCAAGGGAATCTACTGCGTGAAGAGGAAGGGGGAGAACATCACTGGGGAGAACTGTCGGAGTGCTCTGCTGGTGGGAGACATCGGCCCCTCACCTGTGGAGCAGCTCATCACCGTGCTGCTGGAGGTGGGTTGCCCATGCAGGCACAGTTTGGGGTGAGCAGAGTGAGTGGAGCTCCCTGCTGCGCTGGGACCCCCGCTGTGGGCTGCTCTAGCCAAATTTCCAAGTGGGCTCCAAAATAAACTAAAATTCACAGAAGAAAACTTGTGCCAGGTCCTCGCCCTGACCTCGCGGTGGCTCCTATCGTATGTTGAACAAGCCCCATGAGGACAAGAGCAGGGTTAAGGTCACCAACCTGGTTTTCTTCTGGCCCCTACTGGATCACTTCCTCCCTGCAATTTTAGAAACTCATAATAATGCCCACTTACCTTTACCCTGCAGCTGGGAAATGTCTAAGTGGATTTCCCTCAAACTTCCCATAAATATTCCCACTGCCAGTCCAGAGCACCCAAAAGCTGCATCAGCTCCAGGAGCCCCCACTATTCTCCCTCACTGCTGGGAGCTTTTGCTCATGTGCCAGCCCCTGACTCTGCCAGATGCATTCACTGTGCCACTTCCAGCCCTCCCCAGGCCATGAGAGCTGGAAAGCAGAGCAAAGGGCCTTTTGGTCACACTGGTATCAGCAAAACCCATCTGTGGCCAAGAGAGCTGTGACTGCACTGAGACTGTGCTTCAGTGGGCAGCGAGAGGGAAGTGCCCACTGCCCTGTGTACAGGAGGTCATGGCCAAGGGCCTGACCTAGCCCTGTCTCACAGGTTGTGTCCCCTCTGCTCCTGAGCCAGGATGAGGGGGTGGGCTGGCCCAGGATTGTGGTGGAGGACATCGTGCGCCACACTCACCAGCTGCAGAACAAGATGTTCCTGATGACTGGGAAGATCCAGGGAAAGCCACTGCTCCCACTGCCCGAGCACCTGGTCAGCTGGGAGGACTCAGGCGCCGCCCTGGACTGGTGGGTGGCATCACTTGGTGCCAGAAAAGCCTGGCAGGGGCCCAGGACAGCATAAATCACTCAGGGAGGGATGGGAGCTGGGTCACTGGCTTGGTCCCTGCACAGCCCTGGGCACAGTCATCCCCTGCAGCAATGTTTGAGGGGTTCATGCCAGGCATCTGCACTGGCAGAGATGGCCACAAGCAGGAGTGACTGGCTTCCCTAGGGCTGTTTGGAGTTCCCCTGGGGCAGTTCAGGGCTCCCAAGGGACATAACCCATCTGCCTTTCAGCCTGGTGGGGCCTGTAGATGGCACGGTGCTGCACTCCATCGAGACCGTGGTCATCGAGTGGTTCCAGCAGGTTGAGGAGATCTTTGGTGAGGACCCAGCACAGCAACTGATGGAGGGGCTGCACCCCCTGCCCAGGGTCGAGTTTGATTTCTGGCAGACCAGGGTGACCAGCTTGGAGTGCATCAGTGAGCAGGTACTGTCTCACCCATGGTGGCCACATCTCCTCAAGCTGAGCCCCTGTGCTGAGCCCCCCATGCTGATGCTGGCACCTCTTCCCTGGCAGCTGCTCACACCCCAAGTGACCGTGCTGGCCAAGACCCTGGAGAAGGCTGACAGCTGCTACTGGCCATCGCTGCAGAACATGTTCAGGGCTGTCAACGGTGGTGAGGTCCCATGCCAGGGAGGTAGCTGCCTCCAACCAGGTGTCCTCCTCCCAACACGGACTTTCTCCATGTCCTAGGTCTGGAGGAAGCCAATGATGTCAATCTCCACCTGCAACCGCTGCAGGGGCTGCTGGAGGAGATGGAGCAAATGGAGTATTCCCAGGTAGGTGATGTGTGGCAAAATAACCAGGCACAGCCTGGTGGTCTCATCTGGGCAGGAGCAGAGCCCTAGAGGCTTTGGGGGGACACATCCCCCCCAGTGACGAGGCTCTGCTCCCGCAGCTGCGGCTCTTCGTGCCCAAGGTGCTCTGCACCATCTGCCTGCTCCGGGCTCACTGCGTGCACTACCACTCGCCTGCCCACATAGCCCGGATCCTGCAGGAGACCTGCAACTTCTTCATCAGCCTGGTACAGTCCCACGGCCAGCACTGCCCCACCCCTGTCCCCTCCAGTTGCCTGTCTGGGGCAGATGTGGACGGTCCAGTCAGGGTGATGTGGAGACAGCCTTGACAAGGGAACAGCAGAGTCCCCGTAGGGCTGGGGGAGTCTGGGGCAGGCACGGGCTGCAGGCAACCACCAGCAAGTCTGTGGGGGTGAAGGGGGGAGGAGGAGCCTCCATGTCCTCCTGACAGCTGCCCCTGCCTGTGTCTGTCCCAGACCTATAAATTCCTGAACCCTGAGGACATGCTAAAGGGGCTGCAAGGGGAGCCCCAGGAGACCCTGGAGGGACTCAAACAAGCCATCTCCACCACAGAGAAGTTCTTCCAGTCCTACAACACTTACTGCTCTGACCTAACGCCCATATTCTTTCCGGTGGGTGCAGGGATGGTGCAGGAACATCTGACCCCCTGCACACCAGCACCAGACTGACAGCCCCTCTCCCCTCCCAGGAGGAGTCAGAGCTCTGGCAGTTTCCCCCCATACAGATCTTTGGCAGGATGGATGCCTTCCTGCACAGGCTCAAGGCCATCAAGGTGAGAGCACAGCACTTCAGGGCACAGTGCCAGCCTCAGCCAGGCCTTCCCTGCCCTGGGGATCCTGGGGAGGCAGTGGCACAGGGGGAGCTCAGCTGGGGCCGCTGGCACAGTGGGACATGACTGGGAGTTCAGAGGCACCATTCCCAGCACAGCACATTCCCCCAGCCCCGAGCCCCCATGGCAGGATGGGCACATCCCAGCCAGGCCACCCCTGGGGCTGCTCCTCAGGGCTGCTGAGCTGGCAGGACACAGCCCTGTGCTGCTGCCTGGGACAGGGGAAGCCAGGTCAAAGGGGGTTTGTGCTTGCCAGGAGCTGTTCCAGGTAGCCATCGACTTCCAGAGGCTGGAGAAGACAGTGCTGGGAGGGGTGAGAGGAAACTTCCTTGGGACCTGGGTGTTGAGGATCTCTGAGGAGATCTGTGAAGACACAAAGGCTTTTGCTGAATGCAAATATGATCCCTTGGATCCCGATGAAGAGGTGAGCAGATGCTGGAGTGGAAATGTGACGGGTGCTGGAATTGACGTGTTCACATTGGCTAAGTGAAAATAAAAAAATCTCTTGTGAGAACATGCTGCAGAGGGACACATGGGACTGCCCCACAGAGCACAGGGCTGGCTCTGGAGCATGTCATGGGGCTCTGGACCCTCTGGGTTCAGCAAATCCTTCCTGAAGGATTTGAGAAGGAGCCACAGAGGCTGTGCCACTTTAACCCATTTTGCTTTCAATGGCAGCAATGGAACAAAGACTTTGCAGAGTTCCAGAAGAAGGTTGAGGATGCAAACAAGCAGCTGGCTGCCATCTTCTGCCAGGGCTTTGATGACTGTAACCGCCTGACAGGTGCAGTGAAGGTACCTGTGCCCAGCTCGGCAGCCTAGCATGCAGCTCCCATGGGACCCGGGGGTCTCACCCATCCCGGGACTGCTCCAGGGTGCAGGAACTGTGCCTGCCTCTCT